GTGGCCTCCGCTGTTTTCCAGGGGCCTGTAGCGCCCACGGGGTGCTGCTCAAAACCCAGCCCAGCACCAAGCCGGGCACGATCTCGCCCTGCCCTCCTCTTGGCCTCACCTGCCTAATGGGGGGCCCCTTAGAGCCCATCAGAGACAGCGCTCCCTGTGTCTCTCTGTGACACTGGCTTCCTCTCCTGGTCAGTCACCTTCCCTGCCCTGCACCACCCCCAGGTCATCAGGGAGAAATGACCAGTCTTTAGTGTGGCCACTGGAGTGCATGGGCTTGTCTCTGTTTTTCTCCTGTGTTCCTGCTGAGGGGCTGGGGTCTTCTCCATCCCTGTGCCTATCAGGTGGGGACCACAGCCAATGCTGGACAAAGCCCCTTGACAGAAAGCTCACCTTACTTCAAGGGAACCCAGAGTACACTGCTTAGGGCAGGACACAAGATTCCCTCCGGGGAAGGAGGTAAGAATTCATTCCACGTGGTCGCTGGAACGGTCGGGTTCCATTTCCGTGTAGACACTTTTCCATCTTGACTCTAAAGGGTCCCAGGACATACACCGGACACTTTGGTCTCATCAGGCTCAAGGCCGGCCCCAAATCCCCCCTTTCCCAGGTCCCCACATGTCCCGTGTTGTCCCACTGGGCGGCCTTAGCAACTTGAAGTCGGGAAGCCTTTTCTCTCCCTCTGGCGGCCAGGCTCAGGCCTAGGCGGGCTCAGCTCTTCAGGCTGAGCTGTCAGCCCCTCTCCCTGCTCAGCTCCAGGGAGAGGCCGGGGGGAGGCTCCAGAAAGCCGGCCAATGGGGGAGGCGTGGACAGAGTCCACTACCAAGGCCACGTGAGCGAGTGGAGCCCCGCGGCCTTCCTCCCGTGACAGACTAGATAACAAGGGACGCCGGTGAGGCGCCGACCTCCCGGCGCTCAGAAGGCTCGCAGGCTGCGGACAGTGTGGAAGCTGCCCTCCCGACGAGCGCCACCAACCAGGAGTCGAACCGGGGCCGAGGGTTCACACAGCACCCATCGGTTGGGTCGTGTCAAGGGGACGGGGAGTTGTGATGGAAAGAGCACGAGAACCAGGCTCTGAGCTTCTCCAGGGTCTTACACGTTTCACCAGCTCCTTGTGAACGGCTCCCCTAGACAAGGCGATCGAATGAGGTTCCCTCCTCTGTCCTGACTTATGAAATGCACGGTGGCTCCTGGGCCTCCCTCGCTGCCGGGGGGTGTGATCTGCTCCTAGAAAGTCAGGCCCGGAGGCCTGGACCCCAGGCTACGGTTTCCAGGACAGCGGTTAAAGGAGCGTGACCCTGAGCGTCCTCCTGCTGCCATGGGGGGCAACACGACTTTGTACTTTCTGCCTTTCTGTGTGCCTCCCCACGTCCCCATCTCCACGTCCAGGGGCGTGAAACCAGTTCAAGGATGGACACCTGAGGCAACCTGCCGTCCCCCCTCCGGTGCCCACAGCGCACACGGCCAAAATGCTGCAGCTTTCCTTCCCACTGGGCCAGGACCCTGCCTCAGAACCATTCCTAACACAGAGCCGCAAGCAAGTGCCAGCGATAAGCCGGAGTTGGCCCGACAGGGAAACCTGGTGGCTCTCCTAGGACTCGCTGCCCGCAAGGCACCCTCTGCTCTAAAGACCTGTAACTCCCTGTGCACCCAGAAGGCACTGAATACTCTCCCCACCTCTCTGATTTCTTTTTTCTAGTTTTCCTGGGCTCCCGGTGCCCTGCCCGTGAGCGTGGGGCTGTGTGCGTGGCAGGGGACAGAAGGGCCGGAGGAAGAGCTCCCAGGGCCCGGTGGAGTCAGCTCGGCCGCAGAATCAGCCTCGGAGGAGCCTGTCCCTCCAGCTTCCCGGCCAGCCGTGCTGGGCGTGGCCGCGAGCGCGAGGCTACCCAGGAAAAGCACACGCTGGAAGCATCTTACCGTTTGCTCTCTTTATTTTTGTCATTACTCCCAGGTCCGCGAGGCAGCAACATCGATAAAAAGTGAGTTTCCTGCACGTGATTCAGTTACCCTCCGGAACGGACCCTCCACAGGTAATTCTAGGAGCGTTTCTCCACACTGAGCGCAGCCAGGAAGGCCCGGAGCCGCACGCGTCGGACCCCGGCCCGGCCAGGTAGCGTGAGGGGCGCGCCCCCCGCGAGGAGGGTCTGCCGCAGGGAGAGGGTTGCGGGTCGGCCCGCCCCCTCTTTCCGAGTCCCAGCGGCTCACGGAGGAGCCGGACTAGGAGATGCGGTTCCTCGGGAAGCTGGGGCTTCCCGCTGGCACCACCCAGGGCACCCTCAGGGCTGCTGGACAAGCAGGGAATGTGGGGGTGCTCTGTAACCCCAGTGTGCATGCAACCAGCCCCC